TTTGGTTTGGTTTGGTTTGGTTTGGTTTGGTTTGGTTTGGTTTGGTTTGGTTTGGTGTGGTGTGATTTGAAGGCTTTATTTACTTTGTTTTGCTTTGAGACAGGATCTTGTTGAGCAGCTTGTCGCACTGGCTTAGAATATTATGTAGACCAGGCTAGTCTCAAACTTGCCATCCTCCCTGCCTCAGCCTCCTGAGGGTTGGGATTATAGGCATGTGCCACCCTGTCTAGGTTTACACATAATAACTCATTGAAGCTCATCTGACTTCAGTTCAGCCAGTGTTAAGGGAGTACCTGCAATGTGCTAGGACTTTAAAAACCAAACAACAACAAAAAAACACAAATGACCTATCAGCCATATGACACTTCAAAAAAAACGAGGAAGACAAGACAGCGGTGCCTATCAAAGATGTTGGCTTGAGTTTGGAATTTCAGTGTGAAAAACAGCCAGTGAGAAAGGCAGAAGGCAAAAGGGGTCTGGGAACATAGTAAGAGAAAGGTGGCTTCTTTAAGGTCTTTCAGCCTGACCTTGACCCAGCTGAGCTCATCTTTGAGCTCTACCCCAGGGAATCTGAATGCCCTGCTGCTATTCAGGGTGGCCCCCCCCCCCCCCCGCCACACACACAGGCCAGATGGTTTGTGAGATTAGCCCAGGGGTCACAGACTGTGGACTGTAATGTATCTGCGAACTATGTATTTTCTGACAGGTCATGGATTAACAGCAGTCAAAGAAAAGGCAGGGGCCACCCTGCGAATCCACAGCGTCAATTCCGGATCTCCTGAAGGGGCCCCACCTGACGCTGAAAACGGAATCTCTGAAAGTGAGTGGCCCGTTCAGCTTGTGTTTGGGAGATTTTGTTATGCTTCATGCACAATTGCACAGTGGACAAAAGCCCAAGTTCAGATCAGCCAACCACAGTCTAACCGGGGTGTTCTCTCTTGCCCTGACAGATGTGACTCCAGATCAGGACTTTGCCGGAGGCCCCCACCCTTCTCCTCCACCAGGGGCCGCAGGGTCAAGGGGAATGCTGTCAGCCCTCACCAATGTGGTTCAAAACACGGTGAGTCCCTAGCGCCATCCCGTTTCCCTAGTGGCTGACCTCTTTTGATCTTTGCATCTTGTGACCCAGATACATGAGAGACAAGACAGCTCCCTCGCTCATGACTTTGGATTACAGTTTGTTATGCTTTCTGCTGCAGAGTAGGTGTGACCTTGGATCTGAAGTAATAAGGACAGGATGAAATGCAGCCTGTGTTTAAAAGAAGAGAGTGGTTTACAAGGTTGTTGTTTGTTTGTTTGTTTGTTTGTTTGTTTGTTTGTTTTCAGCCTGATCTAACAGTGTCCCTTCCAGCTGCTGCAAGGGCAGCCTCTGGGTTGTGGAGGGACCTCAAAGCTGAGACAGCTGTTCTTCCTGGGTCATGTCTCTTAAAATTATGAAACCTTCAAAATAAAAATTTTTTAAAAGGTCTAGTAACAGGTCAGGAGGAATAACCCAGAGACCAAGCCTGCCATATCCCAACCTCCTGATTCCTACCCTGCTGAATCTTAAATGTATTCCTTCAAGGCCTTTTCTTCTTCTGCTTATTCATTTATTTCACTTGTTAAGTTTATTTTTTTTATACACAACCATCTTACTCCTAAAGGAAGCTGGCTATTGATAACACATTGAAGAAAAGCAGAGGTTCCCCAAGTGACATTGAGGAAGCTAGCTGGTCCTCAGAGCCAGAAGAAAAGAGCCAGCCTACTATCTAGAACAAACTAACTATATTTTCTAGAAATACGCTCATGCTCTTTTTGGCCATGTGTCCACTTGTTATTTTAAAGAGAGGTGGTTGGCCCTCAGTGCGTACCGGAAGCCTCAGCAGACTCTGGCCATAAGCTGATGCCTTACCTTATTACATCAAGGCAGTGTAATGGTGGCATGAGATGCCCCATGGGGAGGAGGGAGTTGGGGATGATCGTGGGAGGTTACGATGCCCAGATGTTGGGGCAAAAGCGTGTCGGGAATAAGGAAACTGATGGCCTGCACATGCTCCTTGAGGGCCCTAGACTGGGTAGGAAGGAGGAGGCAACCGGGGGTTTCAAGAGTCACACAGCAGAGCCGCTCAAGGGCACCCGTGGGGTTAGCGGAAGCTTTCTCAGTGTCTCTCGTGAACTCATCACATCTCCTCTCCCTTCCTTTTTTATTCACATAATTTATTATCGTGTGTGCCTGTGATGAGGGGGGACCTGTGCCTCGGCACTCATGTGAAGGTCAGAGAACAACTTTGTGGAGTCAGTTCTCTCCCTCCACTCTATGTGGGTCATCAGGTTCATGCTGTAATGGCCTTTACCCACTGGGCAGTCTTGCTAGCCCTGAGCAATCCACTCTCCAGCACAGCCCACACTCAGCTGCCTTTCTATGTTCCCCTGGACCTGCTTGGCCTCCCTCCCACAGTCCCAGCCCACCTCAGGCCTGCACTGGGCAGTCTTGCTAGCCCTGAGCAATCCACTCTACAGCACAGCCCACACTCAGGCCTGCCTTTGCCCAACAGTGCACACATCCTCCCGGTCTCACTTTCTTCTCTCCTAAAGTGACAGGCCATTAGGGGGCAGTAAATCCAAGTGTGCAAAAGCAAAGTGTGCAAAAGCATGAGCTACTGAGAAGCCCTTTGACCTCTGTGTTACATGCTAGGACCAGCTAACTTCCTCATGTCACATGGAGAACCTCTGCTTCTTTCCAATGACTTGTCGATAGAAAGCATCCTTTACGAGTGAGATTGTTGTGTATCTGTCTTTTAAAAAGTCAACTCAAGTGAAAATAAACAAATAAACAGAGAAAGAACAGGACTTTCAGGGACAAAATGCCTAGCAGAAATAACACAGGGAAGAAGGTTTATTTTGTTTACGGTTTGAGAGGCTTTAGTTCATGGTTGCTTGGCCCCAGGTGCTTGGACAAGACATCATGGCAGTGGAAGTAGGTAAACTGGGGCTCTTTGCCTTCTGATAGCCAGGATGCAGAGAAAGAGGAAAAGACTGGGGACCGGGACCTCTGAAGTACAACCTCGAGTGACCTACTTCTTCCAACTGGGCTCTGTCCCCCGAAGTTTCGAGACCTTCCAAAAGTAGCACCACTCGCTAAGGACCAAGGATGCTCTGGAGCCAGTGGGTGACATGTCATATTGAACCCATAGCATCCCTTTGAAGCATCTGCTTTTACCACTGTGTTCCAAGGCATGAGTATTGACTGGGCTCCAGGTTTGAAAACAAATTCTAAAGTCCAGAAATGGAAATGTCTGGTAAAGTATATTCACTCAGTAAGGTTGAACGCTGCCATTTAAATAATTATAAAGATTGAAAAGCACATATAGATGATTTGGAAATAAAATCTAACACTTCTGTGTGAAGTAAAAGAAAAATACAGACGTACGCTGACTGCAGTGAGAGTTGTGTTGTTGGGATTATGTCTGGAGGATTGGAGACACTGGGGTTTGCTCCTCTGAGCGGGGTGTGTGAGTCTCGGTTGTCTTAATTTCTGTTAAAGGGAAAACAACGGCTGGCAGAAGGATTTTTTCAGAGTGCTACCTGGATAATAGGCCAGTTTCTAAAGCTGGAAGTACATGGAAGCAGGCTGTCTTACCTCATTAATGTACTAATTATAGTTGGTATTCATCAGTCTCTGAAAGTACGAAAGAGCCACTGAAACACCCTGAGGACCTTCATCTACACTAGCATGAGTATTTGACATTTTAATAACACACCCCAAATAATTCTAAAATTCTTTTAAACAGTTGGGCCATCTGTTAGTTTTAAGTTTTGATCCAAGTCCATTGATACACTCAGAACTACTGTCACAAATCCCTAATGCGCACTGTTATTCCCCCATCATTTTGAATAACACTTCATGCTCTACAAATTATATAACATAAAGTTTTTCAAGGAAAAGAAAACAGGATTGAATAGATGATCAGTCTCATGGTGTGAAAAACTTGTATCTTTCCATTGGTTTTAATATTTGAAGCGAGCGCTGGGTTTGTGGGAACTGCCGGCCACGGTGAAACAGCAAGCTGTAGAAAATCTAACCTTGTATGGTTTTCTCATTTGCAGGGCAAAAGCGTCCTCACCGGAGGTCTGGATGCTTTAGAATTCATTGGCAAGAAAACCATGAACGTCCTCGCGGAAAGCGACCCAGGGTTTAAGCGGACCAAGACGCTAATGCAGAGAACCGTCTCCTTGTCTCAGGTTGGACCTTTGGCAATTTTCTCCTTTCAGCAAATAAAGTCAAGGCACGCACTCAGACCTCAGTAGCACGGACAGTAAAAAGAGCGCCGAGTTTCTGGCACGCTCCATGGAAGTCCTCGTGGGAGGCAAGCTCTGTCAATGGTCCCTTACGCACAATGGCGGGTGTCATTCAGATGGATGACGGCTAAGAATTTGGCTTAGGCGTGTATAGGTTGCGTATTCATATAGATGGTACATATGTGTACACACACACACTGCTGCCCAAGGGCAGTATACTGAGCACACTTGCATGCTTTACTTTACTCACTTAATAATCTTTTGAAGATTTTTCCCAGCATGCCATTGTAAACACCCCCGTTCTTCCATTTATTAGCTGTACAACCTTGCTTTCCACCCCTGTGACTCAGTGTACCCCTGTGCATTGAGGTGACCTCAGTACCATCTGATAACTTTGCTGTGGTGATTACATGGGCCAGAACAGAACCTTACAAAGACTTGTGTACACATACATGTGTCATGTTTATTTAGGTAGATGACGATGATGTTAGAGAGAGACTGAGTCTTAAAAACTAGCAAACTTTGAGCTGTTTTTGCTGTGACGTGAAGAGGGGCCTGAGGTAATTACCAAACCACCATTCTTTCTGTGCCACCTTCACCATTTTTGTCACAGCTGCAGGCTCGCTGCATTTGAAGGGTTGTAGCGTACATGGAAGTGTGTCACCCAGCACCACAAGGTCCAGCAAGGGCGCTACATGCTGGAAGAGAGCGAGCCGAGGTGAGAGCTGTCAAACCCAGAGCAGGGTGTCTGGTGGCTGCACATGCTGGCAGAGCATGGAGGGGATTCTCAGGGCTGTTGGTGGACCTGGGGAACCGCTGCCGCATTTGGACAGGTTACAGGAACTGACCTGGGCTTAGAAAGGATCACCATGGCTACTGTGGTGAAAATAGAGTGGTGGAGGGAAGGCCTGGGGCCGGGAAGCCACTCAGAGTGTGGATGAGTCTCGTTCCTCCCAGAAGCAGATGGTAGGATGGGCTGAGGCGAAATCCCCTAGATAAACAGGAGGCTTGTTTGGGCTCGTTGTTCTGGGGGTTTCAGTGCATGGTCAGCTGACTCTATTGCTCTGGGGCTCGTGATGAGGGAGAACCTCACAGTGAGGAGTGTTCATTTCATGGTGGCCAGGAAGCGAAAAGGGGCGTCCGGCATCCCTGCAAGGGCATATCCGAAGCAACCTAACTTCCTCTCTCTAGGCTGCACCTCCTAAAGATTCCGCCGTCTCCCACCAGTGCCCTGGGCTGGCGCTGGTGCCTTAAGTGTTTGGTCTTCGGTGGGCAGTGCAGACCCGGCTGGGGCAGGAGGAGGAGGCTGCAGAGTGCCTGGTTCCACACAGCAGGAACGTTCCCATGTCATGTGCTGCCTCTTTCTCTCATACGTTCTACACCAGTAGCCCAGGGAAGACGACTGAGCCATTTCCACACTTCCCATCTCTCGGTTTTCTTGTGTGAGGAGTTCCTCCATGTTAGGGTCACTCCCCTTCAATTAAATCCATCCACATCTGTGTCCCAGAGGCACACTGAGACCAGCCACCTGGCTAAAAGGCTTATTTCTTGGGCAGCTTTGACTCCACTTCTCACTTTCAAGTAAATCTGTCTCTCCTTAATGATGCTCTCCTTCCCTTTCTAGCTTATCTCTTTACTTTAGTCCAAAGCAGTGAGTCAGGGAAGAAGCTGGCCCTGAGACAGGAGCCCGCTCAGAGCCATTTAGTTTTATTTTTCCACCCCACAATGCCCTGAGGTAAGGGGGGCAGTTGAGTTTTATTATGTGTTAAACCTTCCCAGGAATGGTTTCATTGGGTTATTTTGAAAACGTTAAGAGTCAGAGCCTTACTAATTTAGTCTTAAAGACAGACAGGAAAGAGAATTCCTTCCATAGGCTAGTGGGTTCTTGGCTGACAACCTCAGGAACCCAAAAGGAAAATGAGGCTGCCTGTTTTATTGGCACACAATAAACACCAGCCTCTATTCTTGGATGATTTCCCCCCTGTGACCTTGTGGCATTGGCCAGTGTATTTATGGGGCTCTCTGCACATATTAAAAGACTCCATAAACTTAATGTCCTTGTAAACTTAATGAGAACCACATAAAAGATGCCTCGCATCAAAGCAAGCGAGGACAGAATGTTGTTAGCGATGGACAGACTCCTGTCCATTTTGTCGTCTTTGTATTTAAACAACAAAATAACTGAAGGGGCGTAAGGAGGAGGTGTCTCTTTCTTAACATGCACAGAGCCTGGGGTCCATCCCCAACACTGCAAATATAGATGAAGGAAGGGGAGAGGAAGGGAGGTGAAGAGAGAGAAGAAAAAAGAAGACAGGAAAGGAAGGGAGAGAGAGAAAGACAGAAAGAGAGAAGTTATTACTGTGAACAGAAACTCAGGTCTGGACAAACCTCTGAAGCCCAGCCCAAGCATCTATAAGCCAATTTCTGTTCAGTGTCTGCTGATGAATACACCGTGGGTTTACCTTTATTAGATGTCTAATGTTTCATCCACAGAAGTTAAAAAAAAATGTAACAGAGCAATATCAAACCGGCTCCTTTCTGTTTTGAAATCTGCCTGGGCTCAGAATTCTCAATGTGGTCACAAAGAGTAGGCCTTTCCCAGGGTCAGGTCCAAAGGGAACCCAGGATGGCTAAATGTGGTGCCTACTGGCATACCAAAGTGCATGCTGGCCTCTGAGCTCCCTCAGGACCTGTGGCTCCTTTCAGCTCTTTTCACTGCCCCCGCCCCTGTACCCTAAACTTCTTCAGCCCATAGGCTCCCCCCAGCTCATTTCTATAAAACCCTGCCATTTCCACTATCAGCTGTTTTTGCTTTCTCTGCTCCCTCTCTTTTGACTCCTTCGCTCTTGTTTCTCTATCTCTTTTTCTCATTTATTTATTTTATTCACTGTACACTCATGTAGCCCCTTCCCTCTACCCTTCCCAGTCCCACTCTCTCTCCCTTCCTTTCCCCCTCCTCTTTCCCTTAGAAAAGGTGAGCTCCCTTTCCCATCCATCCTAGCTCATCAAGTTGCATCAGGACTGAGTGTCTCCTCTTCCCCTGTGGCCTGTCAAGGCAGTCCCACCACGGGAAAGTGATCTAAAAGCTGGCAAGTGAGTCCCTGTCCCATGCAGTTCCCACTTCCCTCACTAGAGTACCCACTTGAAGCCTAAGCTGCCCATTTGCTACATCTTTGTAGGGGGGTCTAGCTCCAGTTCATACATGGTTCTTGCTTGATGCTTCAGTGTCTGCAAGTCCCTCTGGGCCCTGATTAGTTGGCTTTGTTGTTTTTCTTGTGAAGCTCCTGTCACTTCCTCTGAGAGACTCTACCCAGCAGTGCCTCAAAACAGATGCTGAGACTCACAGCCAAATATTGGTCTTGCGGAATGGTGGGAGGAAAGAAAAAAGGCCCAAAAGTGACAGGAGCTCTTGTTTGTCTCTTAACTCTTGGCTTTTGAGCCTCTTGGTCCTTGCTTCTCCTCTCTCTCTCTCTGTATGTGTTTCTGTGTCTCTCTGTCTCTCTCTCATTCTTACTCTCTCGCTCTCTTCCTCTCTCTCCTCCCAGTTTACTGACCATGTTTAATCTACTACTTTCTCTTCTCTGGACTCCTCCAGATGCCTCTGGCTGTTCTCTCCCTCACATCTACAATAAAATCTTCTCCTCAGCCATACCTTGTCCTCACTTTATACATCGGGGGCCAAAGCCCCAACTTCATACACCCCGTGCACTGAAACCCTGTCAGTGTAGAAAACTTTGAAATTTTGGAAAGAATTTAGGGGAAAGACTTCGAGGAAAGCAGAGGAAGCCATTCTGTGCTGCTCTCCAATCCTGCTCTGAGGCTTGTTTTGTGTGGCTCAGCTACAAAAAAAAAAAAAAAGAAAGAAAGAAAGAAAGAAAGAAAGAAAGAAAGAAAGAAAGAAAGAAAGAAAGAAAGAGAAAAGAAAAGAAAAATAATATGTAACCATTAGTCAATAGTATCAATCTAGTATTTATTTTTACCATTCTTTTAAAATGTATTTTTATTTTTTGAAATTAAAATACATTTAGGTCATCTTTTCCTTTTCTTTTCCTTCCTCCATCCCTTCCCATGTACCCCTTTGCTTTCTCTCAAATTCATGGCCTCTATTTTCTGAACTACAGTATATGTGTTTTTTTACTATAATATATACGCATATATATAATTTCAAATACACAAACACAACCTGTATAGTCTGTTTGAAGTTACTTTTATGTATATATTTGGTATTGGATAATCTAACTTGGGGGCTCTTACCTGGGGAAGACTATTTTTCCAACTCCCAGCATTTCCTAGTTGCCTGAAGTTCCTCCTGCAGGGTTGAGGCCCCACGAGCTTCCCCCTTTCACATTAGCATGTCTGTTGGTGTCATCTCGGTTTAGGCAGCCATGATGATTAGACTTCATGAGTACCTGCAAACCTCCTCCCTCAGGACACCAGAAGGCACCATGCAAGCTTTCAAGGAACAGGAGCCATGTACCCTGCTATGATGCCTGTGGACTCAGACAATGACCAGCACGGGGAAGGGCGAAATAGTGGCACATGTACATTGGCAGTAACCAACATCTTTTAACTGGACCGAAGGGCCTCTCAACAACAGGAAAATTAGACCTGGTATTGGAAACCAAACCAACTACCCAGAGCTAGGGAGTTCATGGATTACGGAGGAAAAACTATGACCAACTATTTACAAAGAATCATTTTTGGGAAATTCCAAAGTGATGCAAGTGGTTTTTCACATAATATCTGTCCTCCCCATTCCTCCATAGCTTACACAGAAAGGTAACTTGGAAAGATCTGTCTAGTGCATGAATATTGTGTCCCTGCAGATGTTGAGAGAGGCCAAGGAGAAGGAGAAGCAGAGGCTGGCGCAGCAGCTCACGGTGGAGAGAACTGCACACTATGGGATGCTGTTTGATGACTATCAAGGTTTGTCACACCTGGAGGCTCTGGAAATTCTGTCCAATGAGAGTGAGAGCAAGGTACATTCACATGGGTCATCTGGATGGCATTGTTTGGTGATGTGTTTTCTCTAGCATGGAAGAAACTATTGGGAAGAGGCACTTTGTGGCTTACTTATGCGAAGGTCTCACAGGATGTGTAGGCTGATGTCCCCTCAAGCTGCCTGAGGTTTCCTCTCCAACCTGTACTAACCTATTACTCCACTCAGCCCAGAAGGGCCAGAAAATCAAGAGTCCCCACTACCCTTCCTCATGACAGGAAAGGCAGCTCTAAAACTTTCCTGCCAGACCCTTTCCCTCCTTTTGGCAATCTCATTTCCAGATCAGAGCTTCCTCACCAGCCTGGGCCTTTCTTCTACCTGATGTAAAAAGAGTGACTGGTGTTTCCATTAAACTGTGGGCACTGAGCACATACTATTTTATGAGTTTTAGTTTTACTTTATTTGACCTGGCCACCTTTATCAGAATTTCTGGGCCATAGAAGGCAAAATCGTCCTTCTGAGAACTATTTGAAAGTGATCCCGTTTAGAGACCTATGAGAGCCAGGTGTGGTAGTGCACACCTGTGACCCCGGAGGCAAAGGCAGGTGGGTCTCTGTGAGTGCAGCCTGGTCGGTCCACAAAGCAAGTCCGGGACAGCCAAGGCTACACAGAGAAACCCTGTCTGGAAAAACAAAACCAACCTACCAATGAAACAAAAAGCCTATGAAATTCAGATTCTCAAGCAGATGGCCCTATACATTCGTACTGCCCCACACGACCCCAGGGAAACAAAACAAACTGCTATGGATGGGAGGCAAGGCTAGACGGCACGAGACCCCGCCTCAGAAAAGAGACAAACCAGCCTGAGGGGACGGCTCACCCGGTAAAGGCGCACGCTGCTGAGCCCAGCCATCCCAGTCCAGTCTCCAGGACACACAAGGTGGGAAGAGAGAACTGATTCACTCCTCACCTTATCCTCTGACCTCCATATGTACACATACAAATATGATTTAAAAATTAAGCCATTTTCTTAAAAAGCAAGCAAATAAAACACTATTGAAGAATAATTTTTTAATGATACAAAAAGACAAAAATCATGATTCTCATACTGATTCTCATGAGCACCTAGTAAAGATCTTATTTAGGTAATTAAGTAAATGAGGGAAACAGGCTGGTGTTATCACCAGCTGTAAGGAAAACCAGAAAAAGAACAGTCAACCATTGTTCCGAATAGACACAAATTTGCCACCAGTGGGGCAGACTGCCCTCTCCCCACAAAATTCATCTGTGTGTCTGCAGAGAACATCTTTGTAGTGCCATTAGCCATCCACAATTTGCACAGTTGTAAAATTGCTCCTCTACATTCAGAATCCCATAATTTGGTAAAAAAAAAAATGCAATTTTCCACCAAAGCACAAAATTCTCTTCTTGAAAGCTGAGTCAGGAGTCAGCCCTTTATGGGATTATACATCAGTATGAGGCCGCAGGATTTTTGGATTCCTCTTGCTGCAATCTGCTTGAAATGACAGTGATGATAAAACCCACCTCGTAGGCTCCCTACAGGGATTCAGTGAAATAATCCATGTGAGAGCTCATAGCAGCATGTCTGTTACAGAGTAGGTGCGCAGTGGGCGCTGGCTGCTGCTTTGCGCACCCGAGTGGTAAGTAAACACGACGTTGATGGCTGTATTTTACATGCATTCCCATGTTGTAAATATCTGTCGCTCATTTTATTAACATTACAGGAGGAGACTGCCCCCTCCCAACCCACCCTGATAATATAGAGAGCTCGCGTTCTGGCTGGTTCCATCGCAGACCTCAGCTGCAAAATAACCCTTAGCTTCCTCACACAGTCCCCCTGCCTCCGCCTCTCAGATGCTGAGATTACAGGCGTGAGCTGCACAAGGTCCCATCCGTGACGAGTTGGCTCTGTTGCTTTGGAGCATACGGCAAGAGAGCACCTCCCGGTGGGGCAACACCACCCACTCGGGCTCAGGAAGCAAAGACAAGAAGACTATAAACCAAGGTCTCACAGGCCCCTAATACCTGACACCTCTCCCTGCCCCCACGCCAAAATTCCAGCACCTCTCAGCAGCCCCAATCTGGGAACTAAGCCTTTAACATGGGGGCCTTTGGAGAACACCCTAGAGGAGTCCCGAATCTTCTCTTTGTACATTGTTTCCACAAGCTTTGCTTTCTTTCCCCAGCCTGGAAGTCTCTGCCGCATTCAGTGAGGAATGCAGAACTTTTAGGAACTTACTGGTGATAATTACTGGGTGCTATCACAAATCTTTGTGAAAATCAGAAGTCATTTTTCAGTCCTGTAACAGTCCAGAGTGGGCTGCCAGGTCAGTAGACAGCTTCCTGTACTCAGGCCCCAACAGGAATGCAAGCGGAGAGCCCTTACCGAGGTCTCCAGAACAGCTAATGACACACAGGGGCCACCATAGAGATGTACTGTGGGTAATGGAAAGGCACAGATTTCAAAATTGCTGAAAGCATAAACGTGAAACCGTCTTACACAAGAATGGTGTGAGGCACTGTTTTCGTAGGTAAATTCACTGGTATGATACACTCATTCCTCAGCGTGCCAGCCACCACATTGCATCCCATAGCTACAAGTAATCATTTGTTAATTAAAAACAGTTTAGATGGACCTGGTGCCATAGGCCTGAATCCCCAGGTACTAAGGAGACTGAGGCAGAAGGATTTCAAGTTCAAGGCTTGTCTGGGTTACAGAGTGAGTTAACAACCTAACAACTCTGTCTCAGCATAAAAAGAATAAAGAGTTGACTAATGGGAAAGCTCAGGGCTAGACCTTGCACAAGGCTTGATTCAGTCCCCAGCACTGGAAATAAATTACTGGTGGCCTGAGTGCGAGCCCTATAATCTCTCTAGCTTCCACACGCTAATAAATAAACAAACATGTGAAAAAGAAAGCGACCAAGGAGAGGGCCACAGGCTTCGTAGCTTGGAGGCAAAGTGCTTACTCTCTACCACCTCAAAAATAAAGAATAGACCCCCACAGATGACTCTACACATTAACATCAACGAATGCATCTCATGAAGTACTCAGGACACGCTCACACTAAGAGAACCTTCGTTGTGTGTCTGAAGCACATTTAGCTAAATGCCCGGTGTTCACCTGGCGACCGCACAGGTACTGATCCTTAAAAGTTAAAGAACTTTTGAATGCCATTGAAAAACTCAGGTCTGTCCTTCTCCATCAAACTCCCTTCCTGACCTGGAAGGCTGAGCTCCTCCTTGAAATTCTCAGTCTCCCTGAATTTCTGTTCCGTCCTCCAGGCTGCCCCTTCAGTCTCCAGCTGTCTTTTACCTCAAATGCTGTGCGTAGGTAGATGAGACACTTCATCTCAGCCTAACCCACACTCCCTTGCAGCCCATTGCTTCGAGCCACACTGGGCTCACGCTGCTCTCAGCACCGCTTGGGAGAGAGGCCCACCCAGTAACCTGGAGAGTGTTCTGGGAGGGGAACATCCCACGTGTTCTGTGTCCAGGTGTAAAGGAAGTACTGGTGCTGGAGAGATAGCTCAGTGGTTTAAAGGGCTTCACTACAGTCATGAGGACTGGAGTTCAGACCCTAGCACCCACATGACAACATAGCAGTTCACACACACACACACACACACACACACGCTGTGGCGTGTACAACACACCGCCCTCAGCACACAATAATAAATAGACAATAAATACAATAATAAATAGATCAGTAAGAAATAAATAAATACAAAGGAATTGGTAACAATAATGTTGGATCACATTGATAAGCCAAACTTGTCAGTGTGATCCATGATAAATGTGAAAATGTAATCATTTTTTTAATACATTCGGTTACATTTTTTTTCTTTTTTATGAGAAGAGGTATAGGACACTGTGTACCCTCGTGTGACCTCGACAAGCAGTCTGTCGGCACGATTAATTATATTTATTCTTGAATCTGACTACAATTCAACCCACACCACTGTGGCGGAATGGAGTAAAAAGAGGAAGAAACAGGAGCATACAAATGAAATGAAGGCTCTCAGGAGGCCAAAGCCAGAGGGACTGGCCAGGGGCCCATAGCACAGGGCACATTTGCTGCTACCTGCCGAACTGCGTGGCTAATGGGTTTGGTGTTGATTTCCTGCCAAGCTTCTTCCCACATCACCCAGTAACATGCACAAACACTCAGGAAAATGGAGTCTGTCCGCCTGGACGCCCTGCCTGACATGCCCATCTACTCCCATGTGATGCTGAAACCTGTCCCAAGCAGGACTGAGCGCCCCTGCTGGCACCTCCTCCCTAGCCTGAGTCTGATTTACAGAATGAAAAAATTAAAACGTGCAGCTTTATAGTCACACCTCATCTTTGATATGATAGTCCCTGACCTGTGGCCGATTTGGAAATGTAAATTAATCTTCAAGGATGGTCGGCCATCTGTACTTGTTCTAAAGTGTATGCAGAGGGTACTATGAAAAGAGAGACTCCCACAGTGAGCAGGTGGCGTCTGTCCACACCCAGCCTCCTCCCCCGCGCTCTCCCTGCACAGCCCCTTGCCTCCCCAAGGCAGAGTGACTCTTCCCTCCTTGTGACGCTGCTGTACCCTTCCCGCACACCCTTCTAACGGATACTAGCTGTCTTGGGCTTCCTTCCTTTAGACCAGTGGTTCCCAACCTTCCCACTGCTGAAATCCTTTGACAGTTCCTCATGTTGTGGTGACCCCGTCCATAAAATGATTTGATTGCTACTATATAACTGTAATTTCGCTATTGCTGTGAATCAAATGTCAATCTCTGACATGTGACCCCCTCAAAGGGGCTCATAACCCTAACCCACAGGTTGAGACCCACTGCTTTAGACAGTGAGAATTTAGGGACAGAAAATGTGTCTTGGACATTTTTGTGAATTCAGTGTAAGTCATGTCTAGTAAGTGTGTGTTAGATCCAAGCCCCTGGTAAAATGACCTGCATCTGCCCCCCCCCCCCCGTTACCTCCTACACCACTGCTCACTCACTTAGGTTATGACAGTTGTGTGTAAATGCTGTTCATGAGAAGAAAAGATGACGGTTAAACTGACCTCTTTCTTTCTTTCTTTCTTGCAGGTTCAGTCATTTTTAGCATCACTGGATGGAGAGAAGCTGGAACTCTTGAAAAATGACCTAATTTCTATCAAAGACGTCTTTGTAGCCAAGGAGTCAGAGAGTGAAGCAGATCCAGAAGAACCAGGTAAAGAGAAATAACCAACAGCAAGGTAAACCAGGGCATGGGCCTTAGGATACAGCTGCTGAGAGACCGCTCTTAGGACACGGTGGGTTTCATTCATCCAGGATCCTCCTGCCGTTGCCTGAGCAGCTGTGGGGACAACAGGGCTGGTCACAGTGAAATATGGCCCCTCTTTACTGAGTGGGAACCCCATCCTCTCTCTGTGTCCAGCATAGTCCCTGGCACATCCGCAGCACAAACAAATGTAAAGACTCCAATGGACAGAGGGCATAGTGCGCCGGGCCTGCATGGCTACCACACGTGTGGCACAATACATTGGATGCTGTTTAACATGACTGGTGACCATGGTGTGCAAGTCTTGCAGTGGACTTCATCGCATAACTCTATTATTCCTTTTAATCTCTGTGTGTGGCCGCTGTGTATTGGCAAGAGTCCCACCCTCCACCTGGACTGCACAGTTTTGGTGCGGGAGGCCGGTAGCCTTGCAGCACAGTGCTTGCCTAGCTATCTGTGGCCCCAAAGCCACTTCCCATCACCTCACACAAAGCACAGTTCTGACCGTGGTTCTGCCATTTTCTCCAAGTGCCCCTGGGGGATGTGTTTGAAGGACATGGAGGGAGGGTATACACACCCAAAGGGCCTTCCCCTTGTCTTAGTTACTTTTCTAGTGCTGTGCGAGACACGACAAGTAAGGCAAGTTATAAATGAAGGCATTAAATTATAGTTTTAGAGGGTCTCTCCATGACCCTTCTGCTGGTGAACATGGAGGCAGGCGGATGGGCATGGTGCTGGAGCAGTAGCTAAGAACCTACATCCTGATCTGCAGGCAGAGAGAGAGAGGAGGGAGAGAGGAAGATCGAGAGAGAGACTGTGGCTGGGCCTAGCATAAGCTTTTGAAACCTCAAAGCCACCCCCAGTGACACACCTCTTCCAACAAAGCCACATCTCCTAATCCTTCCTAAACAGTTTAACCAACTGGAGGCACCATTCAAACACCTGAGCCTATGGGGGCCGTTCTCCTCCAAGCCATCACACCTCTCAAAAGTCACCTGAACCCAAGGGAGCCTGTTTAAGAGAAGCAAGGCTTCTTTTAAGACAGGAAACAATATTCTCAAAGTTGGCCATGCCCCATGACACATTGGCCCGTCCACTTGGGACTGGACTGGAGTCCAGCATTTGCTGTGTATGTGCGGGGCCTTCCTACAGATGGCAGTAGTGAGCACCACACCACAGGTGCCAATGGGGCAGAGCAACCGCAGACACAAGGCTGGCTCTTTCTAGTACCAACAGAAAAGCCCAGTGGAAACTTCTTCACAAATTTCTTGAGCAAGTTATATGACCCTGCCGAAAGGTGTATCCTCACTACATCCTGGAGACGATGCTGCCCATTCTGGGAGTTGCTGTGGGGCTCTGATTAAACACCATACATAAAAATATACACCACAGATCTTGGCATGCAGCACTGCTCACATACGTTAGCTGGCGTTATTGTTATTTAGTGTGTCAGCACGATACTAGAGAGGTTGGAAAGATGGCGGAAGCTGCAGCTTCTCTGTCGTCCCTGTCATTTCCTCACCATGCCGAGTACTGCTAATAAGCATTCACACCGTCGCAGAAGCAGTGTGTTCCCAGGCGCGTCATAGACCTTTAATCAAAGCTCAGACTCAAGGCTCAGGGCAAATTATCTCGTGCATCCAAAACTTGTTTAATCACTGTTTGCCCCTTTAACCCCACATCCTGATCTTTGTGCCTTCACCATAATGAGATTTATGCTCACTGCATCAAAATAAAAGAACTAATTATACCAAAAAGTAGAAAGGGGCCAGTATCAAAGAGGTGACTGGGGATAATCTTTTTGAATATTTATATGTTTCTATAAAAATCACCAAAGATGTCAACCTGATTTTTTTTTCTTATAAAGAAACTAAAACACTAGCTGTTAGAGGAGATGCAAGTCACGTTGGGGACCCAAAATAAACCTAAAGAGGCCCTTTTAGCACGCACCATCACTCCATCAGGCCATTCTTTAAGTACATGATACTTGAGTTAGATCTTGGTCCTACTGGCTCTGCCATTGGGAAAGGATTTTTGAAAGGGACTCCAGGGCTGGGGATATGGCTTAGCCAATAAAGTGGTTGCCTTCCAAGTGTAAGGACCTGAGTTTGCATTCCCAGAACCCATATAACAAACTAGAGCCAGAATGGGATGACATAGTCCTGTAATTTCAGCTATAAAGAGAGGAGGCAGAGGCAGCCTTGTGGGCCAGCTAGCCTGGCCTCTGGCCTCTTAGTTGACGCTCTCTGCCAATTCGAGACCCAGTCTCAAACAAGATGTGAAGAGTCCCTGAGGCCTGAACCAGTGTTGTTGTCTGGCCTCCCAACATGTGCTACGCCCTCACGTAACTACACCTACAAAAAAAAAAAAAAAACAACAAAAAACAAACTCTGTAACAAATTGAAAAAAAAAAAAACTACACCTACAGATGAATCCACACCCACATGGATACACATACAAACACACACACACACACACACACACACACACACACACGGAAACTCCATATTTTTCCAAACATCAGAGACATGTTGCAAATGGAAAGTGAGATAGTATTACATTGTTTATCTGTGCTGTTCCTTGGGGAAGGGGGGCGGGAAACTGGGTTCAGTACTGCCAAACCAAACTGCCAAATGTTGCCACAGGCAATGTGATGTGTTCTCATTTAAATATAGAGCCTCGTTCAGTAAATTGAGGACTTAGGGTTTTACACACACACACACACACACACACACACGCACGCACACGTGCTGTATATCATATTTTAAGAAAAATAAAAATTTGGGGTCTGGAAGGGCAAAGTGGTAAATTTGTCTTTCTCTTCATGACAAAAGGCTATTATCTCCTGTAATAGATTCATTGTCCCCAAAGGGCATCTCCAGATGATCAAAACACTATTCATTTTCATTAACGTAATTTAATAAATAAATGTCATTCAGACACTTAATGAGGCACGGGGAGAGAAGAGCAGAGGGATTGTTAAATCCACCCCATCCACAACAGAATGTGACAGCTCTGGGAAGACCGAGGGGTTACCCCCTCCCCCCAAAAGGAAAGGAATCTTATCAATGGGATGTGAAGTAAAAACAAATCCAAGAGCATAATTCTGGCAAAAATCTAAGCACTTTCACCGTTGTTTTGTTTTGTTTTTCCTTATAAGTGCACTTATATTCCCCCAAACCTCTAACAACTAAATAATTTAGCTGGTTGTCTCAGGAAGTATAATAACAAACTGTCATCTTCCAGGTAAATTTAATATTGGGGCTCTCGCACACTGAGTAACACTGGCTCGTGGTTTGTACGTCTGTCTTTTTGACAATGTAGCCTCATCATGCAGCCAAGGCTCTCTAATTTGCTTTACCATGGTTGTGTTTTTATTGCCTCGGGGATGTTCTCCTGGCCATATATACAGACTGAGAAGAGCAGTAATAGTCTTTATTGCAACATTTATTATCATCTGTTTTCATCTCTTTCTGGTGGTTTTCCCCCTGAAATACACGCTAAAATTTACTGGCATACGTTATTGAGGCACATTTGAAAGCTGGGGCCTCCGAGGCACTTGTGCCCTGATTTACTGTCACTCCCTAGCAAATGCACTTAATCTTGTGTGCTCATGTCAGTGTGGCGCATAACAACTCACTTAGAAAGTTTTTCGTTTTTGCAGAACAATTCAATCTTGTATCTGGTTCTTGTAGTAACTGAAAAGGGAAGGACAGAGTTGGGGTGTAGCTCAGTGATAGAAATGCTTGCTTAACATGAGTAAGACCCTAGCAACCCTCCACAAGTACAAAATAAAACTTAACAGAAGGACAGAGGGTGGATCTTACATCCCAGTTGACAGAGTGGGGAAAAGGAAGCTGACGAGACAGGTTAAGGTGTGGAACCCAGCCACAGGCCTCAGCCCCGCAGCACAGCCTCGCACAGAATGCAGGAGGCCAGGCAGTTCCAGGACGAACCTCCCTTCCTCCATCTCTCTCCTATCTCCCTCTCTCCTCCTCCACCTCACTCCCTTCCAGCCTCCCCTCAGTTAGCTAATGGAGTCTCATTCTCACTTTTCTTCAGGCATCACTATGTGGGAAGCTTGTTTTTCTGTACCAACATCCTCTTCGAACTACATTACGGTGGCAAAAGAACACTTTCCTGGTTAAAGCCTTTTCCTCTCCATCCTGAGCTAAGGCCTCTGTCCCCCAGCACACACACCTCGCTCACTGCAGTCACACAGGCCTCCTTACTGTTCCCTGACCTCGACAGGCCCGGTCCCTGCTGGACCTTACTGCCACCACCGAGCTTCTAGAACACTCCTCCCCTGACCTCAAGGCTGTCCTCTCTCTCGGCTGTGCCCCCAGCTCCCTCTTTCCCTTTTTAGTTACTACATGAGCCGGGTCCAACAACGAGAACTGTGTGTGAACCTGGGAAGTTTGCGTAAGCGAGCTATGATGGCCACGCTGACACGAACACACCAATTTTAAATATATCTGGCGAGAACTCACACCAAATCAGAACACACGTGCTTCAAGAGGCTCCAGCCTTGAAATATGCTTGAGTTCTTCCTGGCCTCCCTCCTAGCCTGACCCGCTGAGGCCGCCATAACAAACAGCATTCGGTACCTTCCAAACAGCAGGAACTCATCCCTCACAGTTCCGAAGGAGGTCCACGATCAAAGTGCTGGAAGATCTGGTGTTCAGCGTGGGTCCATCTCTGGGTCCCAGAGCATCCTGTAGCTGTGTCCTCTAATGTGTGGACCTGCCACCCTCTGGGGGCTCTTCAGAAGATGCTAATCTATTCATGAGAATGCCGTGCTCGTGACCAACAGCCCCAGCTCTTAACGCTGTCACCCTCGTGATTAGGTGTCCACATGTGAGTTTAGGGAAGCATGATTAGAATATAGTACCTTTTATTTAAAATTTCTAAACTCTCTTGCTATTCTCGCAGAGGACCTGGGTTCCGTTCCCAGCACCGACTACACTCACAGCCATCTGCCCAACATCCTCTCTGGCCTCCCCTGGCCTCGGCGGGCACCAGGCACGCACATGGTATGCATACATACATGCAAGCAGGCACTCATATACATAAAAACAAAATAAATAAAGACAGAAAACTTTGTAATAAAGACTCTAAGTTCTAGCTACCCTATTCTCCCATGGCTTATCCTTCTCCATAAAACTCGCCACTTGACATAAATGTTTTATCTGTTTGTTTATTAGCTGGTCTCCCTTGTGGGAATATAGATTATAATACACGTATCAAAGAGAAACATTTTGAACAAACCCAAAGGCCAGGCTGGCTATCTTTATGAGATGCCCATTAACTGTTTTCCTATAAACCTGAAACTATCCAGGCAAGTGTTAGGAACAACATTTTTCACCTGGCTTAGCCTTCCCCAGAGGCACACCCAGCCTCTGCCGTGAGCTTCTTCACTCATCCAATCAAACCCAGCTGACAATGCTTTCACACACACACACACACACACACACACCCAGGGAGTCTAATGAACCCATTATCAAGTCAATACTTCAGCACCTACTGGAAACTTTAAGATGGCATTGTCTTGGAGTTACAAATGAGAGAAGTAAGACTGTGGCTTTTAAAGATCTCTGTTGCCTACTGGAAATATTTTTTTTACATACGTTTATGACATACAATTATAGTATATAACATATTATATGATTGTTGTGTTATACGTCATATGATAGCTTAATAGATGATCAACTCAGATAATATGTTCCTTAGCACCTATGATGCTCCAGACGCTGTGTTAGGAATAAGTTAAACTCTTCTCTGTCCTTAGATAGCTTCCAATCTGAGATAATAGGTGGTTAAAAAGTGTTATAGCACCACACAGGCATTCTAGAAAACTTTGAGAAATTTCTCCAGAGAGATGGTGTTACATTAGAGTCCACACCCCACCGAGAATTCTGCTCACTTGGCCCGAGGCCTTCCTCAGCAGGGCACCCTGGGTACCGTCAGAGTTGCTGCATAAAACACAACCACACTCTGAGTATCAGGCATCAGAGGCCTGACACAGTCCCACGTCTGTTCATTCATTCTTTCAGCGACTAGCGGTGGCCACTCTAGCTGTGGTCCCAAGATACACAAGGTCTTTCCCTTATCCTCTCTTGTCTCTGAGCCAACCTGGGGTGCCCAGGTGCCAGAGACCTGCAGCTAGGCCTTGGCAGCCCTCTCCAGGCAGCCTGCTGCTTCCCCGCTGTGCTCACTGATGGAAAGGCTTGACATCCATCTTCCCAGGCAGCCTCAGGGCACTCTGCCACAGCCTCTCAGTCTACCCTGAGTACAGGCTGCAAAGTCAGGGGAGCTGCCACATTCTGAAGGATGAAAAATAAATAAATCACGCTGCTTACTTCTGTCATGTTCTATTTCTAGGCCTGGAAGAAAAGGGCGAAGAATTTGCTAGCATGCTTACAGAGCTCCTGTTTGAATTACACGTGGCTGCCACACCTGACAAACTCAATAAGGTCAGAACCAACCCGTTCTGTGCCTTTGGTGTTGAAAGGGGCTGGGGAAGAGGGTCTCAGTGGTAAGACTTCCTCAGATCCACAAGAAATGGAAAAACACCAAACCCCTACGGCATAGCAGGGGGAGGGGAGTCCAAGGTCGGTAATTAGTATCTGATGGAAGGGAGACCTCTGAGACCTGCATTCTGCCATTTTACCAGCAATTACCTTGTGACCTTGAAAAAGTCGGTTACCCTTTCACAGTGAAACAGAATGTCCTGTGAGAGGATGGTTAGCTTCAAAGTGAGGTGTGGGGGAATCATCATGGTGGGACTTTTTCAGACTCCTCTCCCACTCCTGCATCTTAAAGAGACATGCCGGTTTTGGAGAAATGAGAGATTCAACCTTCCCTCCGCCTGGGCTGCTGCTGTGCCAACACAGCTTAGGATGGGCCAGCTTTGCGTTCCAGATTGCTAACACCCCAGGGCGTTTGCCAGTTAGTATGGAGTCTCGCTATGCGATTCTTAAAACACTGACCATTAATTACTAAAAACGATGCACTGTTTTCTCCCTCTCCCCTTCCTCTAACCTTATGTAGCAGTGGCTCACTTAGGCACTCACCTATTATAACGGGTGAAGAAAGGGCAGAATGAGGTGCAGAGATGAGTAATTTCTTCTCTCTCTTAGGGGTCACTGATCTGGCAGGTCATCGACACGAACACTGGGAAATTGCCTCATTCATCTCCTCACAGCACCTGCCACTGCTTGGAGGGGGCTGTAGGGCTTCTCTGCTGCAATTATCCTTAGAAGAGGACTTTTTAGGGTGTCTCTCCCCTTGACCTGACAGCCCTTAAATTACCTCCCAACATTCTGACATGCTTAGCCTGAGAGTTTGGCCTGAGAGGAGTGACAGCTTCCACTTAAGCAAACAGCTTAAAGGAAACGATGAGCCCACCCCCTCTCTGAATCCAGGAAGCCACAGACGGGGGGGGGGCGAGGGGGGGGAGATGGTCTCTGCAGTTTCGTTACCCACGGTCTTGTAGGCGGCAGGTTGCTGGTGTTGCCCTCCTGGGCACCAACCTCTGCTCCTCCTAGAGGCTGGAGGGCCAGCAGGACTCCGAAGGCGCAGAGACATCCAAGACGTTGTTCTTTCTGCCGTCACGATCCATTACTGGTTCCTGAGATGATAAGGCCTTTAGGGAAACCACCACATGAGGAAATTCACTTCCGCCTTGACCCTTTACTAATTTCTAGCCTTTACAAGTAAAAGTTCAATTCGTCTTTGATCCCTGGTCACGAAACATGAAAAATACACTGAAGATTTTATGTCGTCCATCATTTTTATTCTCATCTGAATAGCATTTTAAAATGCTCCTTTAAAAGTTCTCAGGCTCACCGGGTGAGATGGCACATGTCTGTAATGCCAGCACTCGGGGAGGCAGAGGCAGGCAGATCTCTGTGAGTTCAAGGCCAGCCTGGTCTACAAAGCGAGTCCAGGACAGCCAAGGCTACACAGAAACACCCTGTCTTGAAAAAAAAAAAAAGGAAAAAAAGTTCTCAAGCTTTTCTATGTGCTCTAAATACTTTCCATTTCACCTTTTTTTCCTAGTATATATACTTATGTGTGTGTCTGTATAGTATAGATAGGTTTATGTATATATATTAGAGGAAAAACGTATTTTTTTTTACAAGCAACAAGGCTGCCATCTAAGGAACACAAGGAATGGCCCCACACATCCACTCTGAAGGGTTCGGGCTGAAAAGACTTGGTCTTCACAGTCCCATGGTAAATGTATTGTTTGGTTGGGGCTATTGCAGGCCATGAAGAAAGCTCATGACTGGGTGGAAGAAGACCAAAGCATGCTGCCCATAGATGTGGCCAAAGGCTCAGCAGAGGAAGAGAGCAAGGAAGAAAAGGAAGGGAAGGCTGAAGAGCCCGAGGACGACAAAATGGGGGGGAAAGGAACTAAGACTGTCGAGGTAAAATCCCCCTGCACCAACCATAGTTAGCTATGACTTTATTAGCAGCCTCCTGTAAAGTGAGGGGAACGGCTTCTCCTTTACGCACCGTCCAACGTTCTAGACAGAAGAGTGTAACAGACACCCCAGCTTCTCTAGTCCAAGACAACTTATGGCTTAGCATAGATTTTGCCGCTTTTCTCCATAACTTTATAATTTAAAGGCAAAAGGATCTTCTGGAACGTAATTGATTTATCTTTACAGTAAATTTCCATCTTATATGCAAATGTGTTACTATAAATTGTCTTTATGTTCCCTACTAATGAGGCAATTGAAGCCCTCTTTCATTGCCTGTGGCGTCTTTCCTGCAGTGTAGTACGTTCATATGTATATACTTTATGTCCTGCCTGGGCTCCAGAAGTCATCTGCAGTAATTGCTTCTTCTGTTGAATTCTAATTTTAAAATGACTAAAGTAGATTACTCCAAGGGAAAATGTCCGATGGAGCCCTTCCCACATCTTCCCTGCTACACCCTTACTCCTCTCCTGTCTATGGTGTGCCCGGCTTCACTCTGACTGCTGAGGTTACAAGTGTGAAAGGTTTGTGTCATCCCTGGGGGCCTAGCTGCACTGCCATTTAATGACAGCACGCATGCGCATGCGCACGCGCACACACACACACACACACACACACACAGAGGCAGATATTTTGTAGGCATGGTTTGTTCTTCGTGTGGAGACCAAAGGTTGACTGTTGACATCCTCTTCAGTCATTTTCCGTCTTATTTGAGTCAGGGTCTCACACTGAAGCCGGAGCTCAGCAGTTGGCTATGTCCATTTAGCCCCACATTAGCTGTCTCCATCCCTGGTCCTGGGGTTAAATATCTGTAGAGGATCCAAACTCAGACCATCATGCTTGGGCAGAAGCATTTGCTGACCAAACCACTGTCCCACCCTTTGGTACGGATACACATACAGGCTTACGTCATCCGTGGGCCAAGGTGTAGCTCAGTAATGCAGTATGCACTCCGAGTCATGGCCTGTTTTTAACTTGTCAGGGAGTTTTGAACGAGGCTGCCTAGTGAACAATTTCCTCGTGTGGGTTTATTTCAGGAAGTGTACCGGATATCCATTGAGAGTCTGGCTGAAGTAACTGCTCGCTGCATCGAGCAGCTTCATAAAGTTGCAGAGTTAATTCTTCATGGACAAGAAGAGGAAAAACCAGCTCAAGACCAAGCAAGAGTTCTGATAAAGTTAGTGGCACTTTTAATTCTTACTGTTTAAGTTGCATGTGTGTGCGTGTGTGTGTGTGTGTGTGTGTGTGTGTGTGTGTGCCATTCAAACGCATATATTCCAAGCAACTGAAGATTTAGACGTTCATGTCAACTGTTCCATTACTCTGTGGTCATTTTAAGAAATAAGGACTCCCTTGGGAAATACATTGTAAAGCAATAATAATAGTAATAATAATATAACACATAGGAGTTGTTTGCAAGATTTAAGAGGAGACACACTAAATCATTCAGAAATGGTAATAAGTTTATTTTGATAGATCGAAGTCTTCAAAGCACAGGATCTTAAGGGTAATTATACTGTCACACCACACCAACAAAGAAAGGGTACTCTGTAACTTCTCAGCTACCTGCACAAAGCAGGTGGACACATGCTGCCCTCTCCCTCACTTCAGCTCTGCATGGGCTGGGCTGGGCATGCCAAAGCAAGAAGCTCCCTGCATGTGCTTTTCAGTTTTACGGTCTTAGATGAGCAGCTGTTGTCAGTATTAGTTTTTCTAGTGCTATGCAAACACAAGTATACATCAGGGTAGCTATATATATTTATATAGGAACACGTAAAAACAGTTGGTGTAGAATCCTCTTGAAAATAGAAAACAGTGCTAAAATAAGTCATTAACTCTTAGTGTATAATTACATATTATGACTTGGAATATCAGCAGATGTCCAAATACCCCTTCATTCTTATTAAAACAAGCCAAAGCAGCCCCCAAGAAAGCACATGGGGACACACACACACACACACACACACACACACACACACACCTCACTCACTATCCACATTCACTTAGCCAGCTCACTAATTTTACTATATCTGACAAGTGAATTATGTACTTAGAGGTAAATTACATATTATGTGATAATTCTACAGAGAGTATGAACTTTTTAACATATGGACGGAAAGGACTTGAAGATGCTGAAAGCAGCATCTAGGAATGGCTTTGTCTTTCTGGAGGAGGGCTGGGGTTCAGAAGTCCCAGGGCCTGAACCCTGGGGCCCTGCTCCTATCGCCTTTCTGATTTCCTTGATTGCCCCACCCTCATCAAGTTGTGCTGACCCCTAGCTGCTCAGTCAGGTGTCCTTCTGCCCAAGAACACACAGCATGGCTCTCTGCTGTCTTCTGGCCTTGCTTAATGATTTCTTCAGAAAAATTTTAGATAAATGGATGCCTTTGTATAGTTCATCAAACCAATACTTCGGCGTAGGTGTGTAGTTCAGTGCAAGGCTGGACTAGAGCACGGGAGACCTCAGGTCTATTCCCCAGCAGCATGCAGAAAGCGTGGGCACTTGGAGATTCTGTACAGTGCTTGCCGTGTTCACCTGAGGACCCGACTATCCCCAGAATCCATTAAAAACAAAAACAAAAACCAAGGAGACAGAGGCACAGGGATTACGGGCCAGTCTAGCCAACCTGTGAGTTCTTGAGTTCAATGAGCGATCTTGTCTCAAAAAATAAGGTTGAGAAGATTATGGAAAGCTCAGATGTTGACCTCTGGCCTCCACACACACACAGAAGCACATACTTCCTCCTCCCAACACGTGGCATATGCACATGTAAGCATCTATACACACATACACAAAGAGAACTATGAATATATAGGTTACATAGAGTCCCTGTCTATCAATAACAACAACAACATAAATGTCACTGACCTCAGTAGATCTTATAACATGCATATTCTTAATCTGGAGCTATCATTTTTCTTAGAGCATTTTAATCACTATTAAATCATGCACTCTAACCGTTAGGAGAAAATCAGGACACACATTGTTTGGCAATGATGTTTTCATTACTGTCATCCCTGGCATTAGGATAAATAGTCTGATTAACTTTGTCCTTCTTGCTTTACTTCCTTGGGGTAAAGACTTGGAAGTAGAATGGCCAAAGAAAAGTTTGAATTTTGAAATGTCCTAAGACACTTTCCAGGGGCAAATGGTGAAAACATAATCACAATCGGTAGTCCCAGCTCTCTGAAGGTTGAGGCAGGAGGATGTCCTGTAATTCAAGGCAGGTCATTCTGGGCCACATAGTGGCCCACTGCTAAAAGGGGAAGGAAGGGCCAGGTGCTTGTCAAGCATGTCCAAGACTGGGTTGTTCTCCAGCGTGAAAAGGGGTGTGCGCATGTGTGTGTGTGTGTGTGCGCCTCTGTATGAGATGCTGCATTCTAGTCCCCTTTCTGCACTTCCCACCGCATGTCCTACGGAGGTTACTTGGTGGTGTTTAGTCATTAGGTGCTATGTGAATAAGTGCCCCAGTGCACACCCATTATTCTAAACTGACCCAGATCCTGGAGGGACGTCACCTGGCCTGAGTCTCCACTCCTCTGATATTTCCCTGCACATGGCTTTGATTCTAAAAGGAGGGCAAATTAATTAGATGATTCCTTAATTAAACAGGGGAAGAGAAGTGTGAGTCATGGAAGATTGTTGAGGAAAACTGCTCATCTCTGTGGAGCATCTTCAAACTTGTGCACTGTCCTTTTGAGGTCATCCTGCCATTCCTGTCAATAACTGTCACAGGAAGCCGCACAAATCTCTCTCTCTCTCTCTCTCTCTTTTATTTCAGATTAACCACAGCGATGTGCAATGAAGTAGCCTCCTTAGCAAAGAAGTTTACAAGTTCTTTAACCACTATTGGGGTAAGAGTACAATTTGGACCATTTTCTTACATTGCTGAGGGAAGTGAAGCTGTGAGGGGAACTCAGGCATATGACACTTTTTGACACAACTCCATAAGCAGAGCTGTATCATGCTGTTTGCCAAAATCAGGCTGAGGTCACCTGTCCAAACACCATTAGCCTAGGGCTGTCCTCTGTCTGGGCTGTAGATTCCAGTCCCCTGTCTCAGACATGCTGGGTGAGTGGTCAGGTCTCCGTGGACCTCACTTTACTCACGTATCAAAAGAAATGGTGTCAAAGGAAGGTTCCTTTCCATTGCTTATTATCTATGATCACACAACAAGAATCTCTATTTAAATGATTAACTTTAAATATGATCATTCACTATTACCCTCAGTCTTATAAGCCACAGATGATAAGGGTTTCAAAAGACAAAAGGTGCTGTCGATTAACATCTAAGTGTTTCTGCTCTCCAGATAATAGCTTTGAAAACCTGCACTTATTTCAACGTGTGGTTTCTGGTTACATATCCAGGTTGTGCCCTTTTCTGCCCCTGGTAGTCCTTGTGGGAGATGGCTTAGTCGATAAAGGATTTGATGTGCAAGTATGAGAACCTTCAGATCCCCGGAACCTGCCTGTAACCTCAGTGCTCTGGAGGGAGGCTAGGGGCTCCCCCAGGGTAAGACGGCTAGCTGGAGCAGCCAAATTGGCAAGACCCAGGTTCAGCAGGAGACCCTGTCTCAGTAAATAGAGTGTGACTGAGGGAGACACAGAGCGTCACCCTCTGCCCAGACGCATGTGAGCACACATGCACTTGTGCTACACGCGCATACGTGTGGGGGGGGGGGGAAATCAGTCATATTATAAAGCTCCGCCCCCGTAGGGCAGGAGGACACGGTGGGAAACATTGCTTTTTAGCTTCCTACGTTTCTTTTAAAGTCCCTAATTGCAAGTTCTGACTCTCCTTCCCAGAGACAGGGAAAAAATCCGTGTATTTCTGATTGCAATGTACAGTTTTCTGGAGGGCCTGGGATTCAGAAACCCGGACTACACTCTCTCTGAGGCCTCTAGGGGTGGGTTGATTAATGGCTCAGAGAAAGGAGGGCTTCATGAAAGTCAGTGGAAGACTGTGAAGAGCTTTGGGGGCCCCTCGATAGATCTCATCCACACTTTCTGAACGTTGCTCAAATGTGTCTCTCCTCTCACATTCCTTTTTTCTGAGTGAGAAGTTTCAGAAAGACCACCAGCATGGGTCAGATGGTCAGGTGTCCGCCCTGAGGTCCCTCAGAAGTGGCTGAGGACAGGATCACAGTGTGCAGACTTACCCCACTGCTGGGCTGTGACTGCACTCTAGGCAAAGAGCTGTTCTTAAGAAACGGGATAGCTGCCCCCACTTGTGTAAGAGACCCTACGGATAAAGGGTGGGTTACAGGCCGCCAATTCATCCTGCTTTCAAGAAGTCTGGGCTGCTTGTTCTACCTTGGGCCTATCTAGTTGCAGGCGGTCAGCAATGGCACATCAATGTCCTTAACAAGAGTGATGGGCAGATAGGGGCCACTGATGTATGGCTGTAAGTCGCTGATGTACTGATTTGGAAGCACATTACTGTACTCCGGGTGACTGGATGACAGGGCTTTGGGGGGAATTCTGGGTTCACAAAGCAGTGCGAGAGCTGGCCCCATCAATTCAGGTTCCAAGCTCTTCTGTTGCATCTCCTCGCTTTCTGCAGTGCACTAGCCGAGGACCCCAAGTCCCAGAGAGGTGAGCTGATTCACCCAACACCCTCCAGTGACCTCTCAGCTCCGCGTCCACAGCTTGTCAGCCGTCAGACGGTTAACCAACTGTTTGTCGTCCCAGGCTTGTCTGTGGGTTTTATATGATTTGTGTTGAACAGGTTTTTCTCCTGGAGTGGGTAATAGTTGTGACAGTGTTTTCTTCTTCTTGTATCACATCAGACTCTAGCATAGTGCTTCCAAACCTTTCCATGCACACCGACCACCTGGAGATCTTGTTAAAATGCAGATTCTTATTCACTCCGTCTCTTTGAGCTGAGGATAGGGCTGCATGCATTGTTAATTAGCCCTAGGGTGACCAAGCCAAGGTCTGTTCCTGAGCCAGGGTCTACATGGTCTGAGCCAAGTTTCCGGGTGGTGGGTGTGTGCTTAGACTTACAACTGCGTACATACAAACATTGTCAGTGCGACATCAGCAAGTGTGCGATGTCTACTTGGAGACAGTGAAAGCCACATCTAAAATGGAGCTTACGAGAACGCCACCACCCAACAAAGCCCCCGTCTGCGGCTCTGACGAATCATTTGCTGCATCCATCATTGCTTCTGTCCTCTGAAATGGCCATTATGTATAACTGGAAGATAATGAGTGGGCACTATTCTCCAGGCTCCGTTTAAATTGCTCGCATATCTCATCGATTCTGGAAACCAGTGTCATTTAACTGCCCTCATTTTGATTATATCTTAGAGGCTTATTGATAATCACATAAACATGAAAGCAAATACTATAATGGATTTTCTGGTTACTTATTAAAATGACTGACTTTTTTAAAGACATTCTCCCCCACCTCCCACAAGACTCCACTGTGGTTTTCTCTGGAAGGCATTATTCTCTGAAGAGTAATGTCAATGAAGGGAGACTTCTCTGGGAAGATATATTTAATTTATACGCTTTTGTTTGCTGCAGAGCCTTGCAGGTACAGTGAAGGTACCTGCCAACTAAGATGCCCATTAATGATTCATTGCTGTAGGAGGAGGTTGAGCGTTTTAGATAGAGAAGACCTGCTGATTGGCAGCAGAACAATATGAGTAAGGACAATGACCACCTCCCCCTTTGGAGCAGCTGAAATAGAGATGTACTCTTCATGCTTACACACGCTCGTGTTTTTCAAGCCTGGATCTGCAGACCTGTCGAAAGTCATATTTGAAGATGCTCTCGCCTTGTTGCTCTTGTGGTAGATACACTTTCACCAAGCACTGGTGTTCCCAGGTGCAGTGGGGAAGAAGGAGAGAGAGGGAAGAAGGAGAACAGAGAAAGACTGGACAGAGAAGAACAGAGAAAGACTGGACAGAGGAGAACAGAGAAAGACTGGACAGACTCGGCCACTAGGACAAACAAGTGAAGGGCATAGGCTGCCCGGAAATTTTGAGAAGGCCAAGAGACGAAGCATCAAGAGCATTAAGAGCCCCGGGGGCTGGAGAGATGACCCAGTAACTAACAGCACCACTGCTCTTGCAGAGGACCCGAGTTCAGTTCCCAGCACCCACAGAGAGCACGTCATAGTTGCCTAAAACTACAGGGTCAGGGGATCCAGTGCCCTCTGTGGCCCCGGGGGCACCCGTGCTCACACGCACATACCCCACACCAACAAATACGTGTCTACACCTAATTGAAAATGAACAGAATAAAATTCCTAAGAATAAAAATCTCAGTAAGCTACAAATACCTTAATTAAAATGTGCAGTGAGCCATGGTGCATGTCTGTAATCCAGCCCCTGGAAGCATGAGGCAGGAGGATCATAAGTTTGAGGCTAGTCTGGGCTTCACAAAGACTGAAGAGATTTTATCAAAACACAATAATAAAAATCATGACAAATTCACTATCAACGTTGTAACAATAGGATGGTGTCGGGTAGGTTGTGCAAGTAGAAGACAGGGTTCGATGAGCTACAAACCTCCAACCACTGAAAAGAACCTCTGAAAAGAGTTTGCATTTCCAGCAGTGTTAACTCACGCAAACTGCTTGGCCTCCAGGCACTATTTCTTCAGCTAGCCAGCGCCTAGGTTATCACAGCAACAACCCCCTCCTCGGGTTGCAGGCAGAATTGGAGATCACATAAGGAAGGCAAGACAAGAAGCCTGGTCTACAGTGAGCGCAAACTTCTCTCCTCCCTCCAAGACATCCCTCTACAACACAGTGTCTTACATTTGATGTGCTAAGCTTTATGGTATGAGGCCCTAATCTGTCAATTTCATACTTTCAATTTCACAGAGCAACAAGAAGGCCGAAGTCCTTAACCCCATGATCAATAGCGTGCTTTTAGAGGTAAGTAGCCTCCAGAGAGAAGCACTCCGAACCAAAGCAAATGTTACAGCCGCGTTCTTTTTCTCTTTCCTTTTTCCCAGTCAGCAAGTGTTATTGAAATTCTAAATCTTATCATCAACAATCTAACAGTCCTGTGTGTGCGTGTGCGTGTGCGTGTGCGTGTGTGTGTGTGTGTGCATTTCTGTAGCTCAGCCAGCTGTGAAGTCTCTGGTGGAACAGCAATGCCTAATTTTCAAGAATTCCTGGTTATAAAAGGAAATGCTAAGCTTGCAGGTTATTTCCTGGCAGAGGCAGATTTCTGCTGCCAGGTTTGGCACTGTGATTATTGGCTGCAATGGAGGATTATTGCCCACTGATGATTCTCATTAATAGATGGGCACATCCCTTGGTTCATAATAACGTTTGGTGTAGCTGAGTCTGAGTTCCAAGTTGGCAAAAATGATACAGAATGTCTGCCCACTGAGCGACAAAGGTAGAATCCCCAACGAGGGCTTCTGCCTGACCAGCTGCACAGCTGGGAGGCTGTCTCAGCATGCTGTGGCTCTGTAGAAAGTGACCCCAAAGATGTAAGAGAGAAGGCCAAGATGCCTTCTCCGTCCCGCAGTGCGGGGACTGTGTTCTGCGAGTGCTCAGCGGAGGAGGACCTCCCATTCGAGCTTAGGCTTGTGCTTGGGTAGCCACAAGGCCTCACCAGTAGACGTGAAGCCGGGCAATGCACGTGCCATTGTCGGTCGAGGTCACTGGGAAAGGAGATTACAAAGCATCACAAATGCTACCTAAGATATTGCAATATCGTGCCTCACTGTTAAGCAAAACTGTTAATGGTCAAAAAGTAACAATGTGGTGGTAACGAGTGTCATTGCTCAGGACACAGCCACACAGTGGGCAGCCTGAAGGGGCAGGACCCACAGGGAAGTCCAGTGGAACACACACAGCTAATAGAACCCTGAAGTCAGAGGCAAAAGAAGATAGAGTAGAGGAAAAAATCTACTTTCTGGAAAGACAGTGTGGTGCTGTACACCAGCAGTCCCAGCACTCAGAGATCTGAGGCAGGAGGACGGTGAGTTTAAGGTCAACACAAGCCATAAAGGGAGACTCTGTCTCCATTTTCAGCCTTCCACCCCAAATCTGTCTTGACTGCCAGATTAAATGTGTACATTAGCACATTAATTTACCATATTTGTGCATCACAAATATGAGACCCGATAATTATTCCCTGCTCAGGAGAGATTTTCACCCTATAAATACCCTCCCTAAACTTCATCCGTTCTGTAGTTTTAGTCATGTCTCTAGTGCACTCGCGTGGAGCCTTCTGTGAGTCAGCTGTCATGCCGAGCCGAGCCTCCTTTGTCTTGTGATTTCAAGGCCATTGGGCTGACCTGAGAAGGGAGTGAAATATACTGGCCATACTGGGCCATGGATCTGCACACGCTCACATCCCTTAAAAGCCTGTAGAAATGGCTTGTCTCATTTTGAGTGAAGTTCTTTTGTTAATTTGCATAATTAAGACCTGGGCATGCTCCACCCAAAAACATGTCTACATTTGCTGCTCGAGCAGACATTCTGAGAATTTCAAGATTGTGTTGTGTTCCCTCTCCTCAGATGAAAAGGAATGTTGACAACTGGTGACAGCCATCAAAACTGAACTGTGAAAATACCCTCTGTTGTTGTAAATAAACAATAAACGTGGGGCTACATAATGTTTATTGTTAGCCCTAAGATTATCACGGCGGTATTAGTGAACCCGTTATCACAAATAATAAGATGCAGACACCTGTTAGATTTATAATTGCCTCATCTTCCTTGGACAGGGCAGATATTTCACTTAGACTGTCTCAATAATCTACCATCTATCTCCCAGCCGCCATCCATGCCCTCCACCTTAATCCTCCCATTCTGGACTACCTCCATACATAATCCCGTGGGACTTGCTTATATTCTTCATCTGGGCCTTTCAAGCCATTATTGGAGTCCTTCCTCCAGTCCCTCGTGGTTCCTTCTCCAAGCTAACCCTCATCATGGCCCCTCCTTTCTCCTCTTCCCATCCTTCTCTGTCCAATGATTCCCTGTCCTCCTAAACCAGGGAACCTTAGCCACACCTACCCATTCTGTCCTGCCTAGGTATAGGCTGTTTCATTAACCAACCTGTTTTAGGCAGGTTTACACAACAAAGATAGGCGTAGCCAGATCTTGAAGGCCAGTGACAGGCCTCAGACCACTCCAATGCCCCTGAGCTCCGTTTCTTTCCTTCTTGCAGGGCTGCAATAGCACCACGTATGTCCAGGACGCCCTCCAGCTGCTGCTCCCGGTACTGCAGGTCTCTCACATCCACACCAGCTGTGTGAAAGCCGCGACCCAGCCAGATTCCAGCTAGTCCAACGGCAGGCCACACCTCTTCGCTACATACCATGTAAAGGCAATAGTCTTCGACGTCGCTGGCCAGACCACCTATCTGAGGACACTAAAAGCAACTTTGCACAGTTTTTCAAATACAGAGCGTTAACATGTCTCTTAATGTATATTGTTTTATCCGTAATTATGTTTTCTTTATGTTAACTTAAGCTTATACTGAGTATGTTGAAATCTTCCCTCAAGTTACAGTTCATTCACAAATACATGGGTTTTCTTGATCAAACTGCTATATTTAGAAATTCATAGGGAGACCTCAGAGTTTTGATCATCTTTGAAATGTCTGCCTTTCAGTACCCTATTTTTCTAAAACATGGCTTTAAGTAAGTTCTTGTGTTGAACTTCATTTTGTTGCATATGTGTCACAGGTGAGAATAACACTACTTATTTTGTTTTTAAAAATGACATAAATATAGTTTGTAGTCATCCTTCTGTGACGAGATTTATTGAGTACCTGCTATATGTTTGCCAAAAAGTTATATGATCTCACTCCAATATAGACATGTTCTGAAAGATGATTCATAATCATGTTTAACATATTTTAGGATACCAAGATGTTTTCTAAGCCTTAAAACACTTGAAGAACCGAGTAAAGTGGTTACTTAAAATATACTACTCTTCAATTTATTACAGTTTTTCAACCTCTTTGAACTTTTTTTATATCAAATTACCTCTAGGATAAAAATATGTATGAAAAGGGCTATGAGAGAATATTTATTTTGAGACAGGGTTTTACTATGTGGCCTTGGAACTCACTATGTAGGCCTGGCTGGCCTCGAACTCATAAAGATTTGCCTGCCTCTCCCTTCCAGGCTGAGATTCAAGGTATGCAGAGCCATGCTTGCCTGACCTGATGGAGCATTGTAGTTTAAGGTGTATGATGGCAAAAAGAAATAGCTTGGGAACATTTCAATAGAAAATTAAAGAGGTTTAGCAAACTAGAACCCCCGACCTGCATTTCAAAAGTGCCTGCTAAGCCAGTCACCACCGTGGTGGTGGCACAGGGTAGAAAATAATGACGTGAGTAGGCCAAGTGGTATCTTGTTTCAGGGTGATGCTTTGACGACTTTGAAGCCAGCAGTTCCATTGGCACTGGACTCTTCTGAGCTACACCTGCTCTTGGCAGGTTGGGATTCTGTGGCATGTTTCTATTCCAGAACCTCACTGACATCCCTACCAGCAGAGTCCTAAATAGTCATGCCCATGCTATCCCGGAGCAAAGGGTGTGTGGAGTCTTGAAAGAGAGAAATCCCTCCTTTGTGTTTGCTTTGTTCCTTGATAGAATCAACTGCCTCTGCTCCCTACGGGCCAAGTAGATGTTTGAGTATTCTCAGTAGCATTTTTGTGCATCTGGGTTTTAGTTTTCAGCTCTGCATCTTCTGAAACAACCAAATAAAAACATATGGACAATTTATTTGCAACCTAGAAAAATAAACTTCTCTTTTGAAAAATCAAGTAAAGGTGTGTTTTGCCTTTCCTGGTATCTAGACTGTTTGGAATGTTAAATATGGAGGTGATTAACTGAAGACAGTGTAACCTTCATCTCTATGAAGAAGGGATCAGGATTTGTACATTAACTAGAAATATAAAAGAAAAACAAATACCTCAAAGAATTAGAGTCTCACACTTAGTCTCCCAGGCATCAGGGGTTGGGGCAGTGGCTCAGCAGGCAGAGTATTGAGAAAGCCTGGACCCCCAGCACCCAGGAAAAATCTGGGTGCACACCTGTAACCCCAACAGTGGGAGGTGGAGACAGGAAGATCCCTGGGGCTCACTGACCAGCCAGTCTAACTATTAGTGAGCGACTGGGCCACAAAAGGAAAGAACATGAAGACCAGTAGAGGAAGATAACCAAGGAGGACCCGTCACTGCCTCGGACGCACGCACAGGCAAAAGTGCCTGCACAAACATGTGGGCACCACACATTTACCTGAAAGAGAAGTTCAGAACACATGGTGGTATGTGCATGGAACCCAGCACTCAGGAGGTGAGGCAAGTAGACGGAGGTTCAAGATCATCTCAGCTACATAGCAAGTTCAAGGCCAGCCTGGTCTGTATGAGACCCCATCTTTAAAACACTGCCTAGACAGCCACTTAGTGTACAGCAAAAATTTTAATCATAAAACAAAGTTTTTTTTAAAAAAAAAACTTAAAAATAAATAATATTTTTTTAAAACAAGCACTATTATTGAGAAATTTATTTATTTGTCTTTTAACGAAAAAATATTCAAAGTTGCCAAGTGGAGACTGAAAGGATTCCCTGATTCATGGTCTGTAAATTAAACTATTTAAGAGAGAATAATCATTGATTGTAGACCTATTGTTTAGGATTTCTCTCTTTCAGTACTGCTTTCCATCATCACTTTGAAATCATTGCTGCTTTGCTTTGCTTTGCTTTAAAAACTGTCAAAATACATGACCCAGACCTAGGAAAGTGTGAGTCTATTAACCAAGTGGCTGATTTACCAGGCTTACCGTGGAAGTTTGGCATTCTTCAATAATACTTTATATACATCGGGTTCATTGCACTGTACAAAATTACCCTGAACAAGCAATGCCAGATTTTGCATCATGTACAAAATGAATTCTGTTCTCAGTGATGAACATAGCCCTATGTCCGTGCCTTATTAAATATAAGCACCCAAAGCGTATTTCAAATTCCAAGTAAAAAGCATTCAGGAAAAATTGCTTTGGGGTCATTGATTCATGCAGACACAAAGGACAAACGGAGTCCCAAATTTTGAAGGACAGGCTTAAGTCACCATTCTCTTCCACTGAGAACAGGGGCATGCACTTTCTCTGGGCCACATACAGGCCAGGACTCATGCACCTCAGGCTTATGAAGGCTTATTTCCCGGTTGGGGGTGTGCTTTTGTTTTTGTTGTTTGTTCTTGTGAGGCCCTGAACTTTAGGTGTAGTGTTGATGGGGGAGGGCTAGCTGTTGAAAGCACGTTTTATCTAGATTCTGTCGGACTCTCAGCTTCCTTGTTCTACTGTGGTGTGAATAGCCTCCGCCACCGGCTCCCACAGCCACAAACTGTCCAGTTCCACTGTGTCTTCTCCAATACGAGTCGCTGAAATCTTTGGACCCTGCACCCAAAGAAATTTTTCTTTCCTTAAGTTGTTTCTACCAGGACACAAAAGTGTGAACACACTCCCGATCGCTCTTGCTCTGCGGCTGGAGTATGCTGTCTCTTCATGGGTGTGTGGGGCTTCCTTCTGTCAGAGCTTCAGCAGGTCAAATGCTCCTTCAACTCTGAGCATAGTCCTCCCAGATTTACAAATTTTTTAAATAATCGTTGAATTTCTAAATTTGTCCTAAAATGAAATTGAATTCGTCCTAAAACGAAGAGCCCTGTGTGTGTGCTCACACGTGCACACACAGGCTGAACAGATAAGGTTGATCTTGCCACACAGCTTCCACTGGCATTTAATTTTATAAAAGTAATTACAGGACCAAGCTGGGGTGGGGCTTGGGGGGTTTGTGGTTATTGTTTTGGGTTTTTTGTTTTGCTTTGTTTTTGCACAACATAAGAAATCATCCTTCACTCCTCTTTTTAAGCCAGGCTGACATGCTAATGTAGATACAGGCTTCACTGTGGCCCCTTAGCTTCAGAAAAGATGGTGCTGAACATGCTTCTGAGAATGGCCATCCTCTTCCAGTTTTGTAGTTGATTAGAATTCATAATGCCGCTGGAGTGGCTTCAGACCAGCCACTTCACATGGAAGAAAATAAATGGGAGATTAACCATGCGTTTTATTTCCTGAGCTATTTCATCCCATTTTACATTTTACATTTGTTATCTGTATGTCCACCCATACTAAACGATCTTTCAGGATATCTGCCACTAAACAGGTCTGAAGAACTTTGTGTCACCTTTGTCTGGATCACAGAGGCTTTTTCTCAGCACGAGCTGTTAGCCAAAAAGCAATAGGATTTTGTCAGGCTTTGGCGACTGTGACGCACCTGCCTGGCCTGCCTCTTGTATTAGTCTCAAGGGAAGTTTAACCTGAAAAAAATAACATGTGGATGTCTTCACTGAGTGCAGGGGTATTTGGGGTATTTCAGAGCTGATCTGTCTTCCCCACCCTGGGTGTTCATCTGGCAGCCTTTTCAGATGCGATTTGGAAGAAAAAGCTAGTTCATAAGCCAAGGCCAGATGGGCGAACCTTTAAGCTCTGCCTTTGAGTCCTTGCCATCTTCATCCTGTTTCTCTTTCAGGATATTTTTTTTTTAACAGTCATTAAGTACACAGCTTCCAGGATCAGTTTTTAACAATCTTCTCATTTTTCCCTCTCTCTCCTCTCCTCTCCCATTTGCCAGAAAACCACGCACTCAGAACTTCAACCATGATCATCAGCACAGACTTGCTGCATGCGGGGCTGTGTGTTTAGCGCTTAATGCCTGGTTCCATTAAATACTCACCATCACCCATGGAAGTGGGTTAATTATAGTTATAATCAGACATAGATTGTAATCCCCACCACAAGAACACAAATAGGAACTCAGACAACATAACTGACCAGAGTAGCATGAGTGAACAGCAGAGCCAGAATTTGAACCCAAGTCCAACTAGCTAGCACTTCAAACTATTGTACTGAACTGTCTAACCAAAGAGGAAAGTCACTCGTTAGCTTAGGGAGGCCTCAACACTCAGGTTTACAGGCTTAGCGCTCTGGAAGTTCTGGGGTAGGTACACAATTGAAAGCTTTAGTTGTCTGCTTTGCTTGTTTCCGTGCGACTGAGAACAAACAGGGACTGAAGAGACCAGAGTGGAGCATGTGGCGTTATTTGGTCCCTGGGAGGCTCTCGCCACAGGTTTGCTATCCTCTCTCAAATGTTTAAACCCAGCAGCTCTGCTGTCCCGGCTCTCTCTCCTCCCCCACCCTCCCCTTCTCCAGCCCCAGAGAAGCCAGCCTGCAACCAACACCATTCCTGAGCATTGAGCACTCTGCTGGCCTCCTGGAGCATGGCCGCTTCTAATGCCCTGGTTGCCTTGAAGATCACAGCCTTGTCTAGACAAGCTTTAAGCTGTGTCCTCAACTCTTCAAGTTCTGCAAGAGCCTGGGAAACATTCTAAAAACAAAACAAAAACAAAATGCTGGCCGAGGTCTCTGGCCCTGGACTGGGCACCGCTGCCGAGACACAGTGGTGGTGTTGGTAGAGGTGATGATGGCGACAACTGATCGGATGATGGCAGTGAGCTTTTAATTACTGCTTGCACTTCAGACACCTGAGTTAAGCACTCCACCTCCGATCTCATTTAATCCTCTAATCTCGGAAGATAGCTACTATTATTATTGTACCCACTTACAGATGAAAGCTTAAGTCAGAGAGATAAAATAAGCTGCCTATGAGTATCCAACCACTAGCTGCAAGAGCAGGGGTTTCTATCCCAGCTGTACATAAAATGCTGGACAAGAGCTCCAGGACAAGCCAGTACTTGACAATTAAACAGAGTATCTGTTCCTTTGCTTTCCGGCTATTTGAGATCTTCGCTTCTAATAACCTCAGTATCCAGTGCCTTATAGCCCAGGGATGGAAAGTCACCTGCGTGTCCCATTCTCCCTCGTTGTCCTCATGTTATGAACCTCTTAGCTGAGTGACCCACTGTTCACTGGGTTCATCTTCTCTTGACAGGATGCTGCTACATTTGCCATCTCTGGACAAAGTGAGGGTGGGGGAGCAGTCCACGGCTGGGAACGGTTACAAGACAAGAAAGCAAATGACGAAGTGTGAGCAGTTCACACACCTGCAATCCCAGCAATCAGGAGGTGGAGGATCAGGAGTTAAGATACCCTGCTTTGCTTGCAGACAGGAGTCTAACATAACTGTCTTCTGAGAGGCTTCCTCACACAGCTAATGGAGACCAATGCAGAGACCCAAAGCCAAGCTTGGGGAATGCTGTGGAAGAGTAGGAGGAAGACTAGAGGGAGCCAGAGGGGTCAAGGACACCAGAAGAAACCTGCAGAGTAATCTAACCTGGGCACTTGGGGGCTCACAGAGACTGAACCACCAACTGGAGAGCTAGTATGGACTGAACCTAGACCCCTATACACATCTAGCAAATGTGCAGCTTGGTCATCATGTGGCTCCCCTAACAATAGGAGTAGGGGCTGTCTCTGAATCTGTTACCTACTGCTGGGTCACTTTCCCCTAGCTGGGCTGCCTTGTCACTCCCCAGTGGGAGAGGATTGCTTAGTCCTGCCATGACTTGAGATACCCAGGTGGATTGGTACCAACTGAGGGACTCTCCTTTTCTGGGAGGAGGGGAGGGAGGGGGCTGGGATCAGGATGTAAAGGGATTAAATAAATAAATAATTGGAGGAAAAATATTTTTAAAAAATATCATCCTTGGCTACATAGAGAGTTCAAGGAAAGCCTGGGCTACAAGAGATGTTTAAAAACAGTTAACAACAAGGCCTTTGAATGAAGCGTCTTCCTTGCTTGCTT